TCTTCCAAATCAGTAAATGAGGAAAAATAAAATAAGAAATTAAATATCAATCCAAAAGAAGTTAAGGATAATAAACAGAAAGGATGAATATAGAAAAGGAAGAAGCAGAAAGAAGAGATGAGGAGGAGCAGGAGCAGTTTGGATGATGAACCTGGAAAAAGCAGCGTAAATTAAAAATTCAAAATGAAACATCAGACATAAATTCCAACATATTTTCACAATTGATACAAAAAGTTAAAACTACCAGGTAAAGACAAAGATTATCAGATGAGATAAAAAATTATTCATATGCTATTTATAATAGATATTCCTAAAATATAAGGTATGAAAATGATTAGTTGGGAAAAATGTGAAAAGCTGCACACATCAAGGTGGATAAATCTGTGAAACAATATTGGGAGGAAATACAACTCTAAGAATAATGCATGGAAGATGATCCATTAACATACACTTCAAAAACATATAAAACCAAACAGTAGGTTAATTAGGAATACGTATATGCTAAAACTATAACTGAAAGGAACGATAAACCCAAAACTCAAGATAGTGGTTACCATAGAATAGTATAGGGAAGGGGTATTTAGGAATGAATGACGGTATAGGATTAAGAAGGGATGAAAGGAAGCTTCAAAGCTATAGGCAATATTATGTCTCAGCCTCATTAATAGGCAAGGAGATGCATGTTTTACTGTTATGACAAATTGTCTTTTGGAAATGTTTAATATTTTATTTGAAAATTTAAAGTAAGTCAAAGTATTAGCAACTTCAAATTTCTGATCTTGAAAGACTTCCTCAGATCACGTTGATAAAAATGAGTACAATGATCTCACTGCTTGTCACAAGTTTTTCTGTTTCTGTCTTTACACATGAACTAGATCAACTCCAAAGTCAAGATCTTCCACCTGCTTTGTGTTTTTAAATTCCAGAAATGAAGAAAAAATAGATTCTAAAAATGACGTTATTAAATGGAATAATGACATTCAAAGGCCATTTATTTGTTTTCATGTGAGCACACACATTTCTGCAAAATTTTCCAAAATGATTTTCTCAAAATTATAGTTATCAACTTAAGAATCTCTTTAGAAATCTAACAAAAATAGAACTTTATGATAAAATTATTCTTGTTAATTTGAAAATGAAAATTTTAACTATGATTAATGGAAAATAATGCCTAAAATCTCAAAACACAAAAACCTGATAAGCCTAGATTTTGAGACAAAGAATCTTGCCCTTGACAGGCACGTCAAATTGAGAAAATAAAGACACCTTCACTATATGCATAGATGAGTATGATCTATAATGTTGCTGTCTACCTTTTTATGTTTCTAACCAAATGTATTCCATAATTCAAACATAATTATTGACTATGTCAAGATCCACTGAAAGTAATATTTGATAATTTGAAGAAATTGGTCTTTTCCCTGGTGTTCAGAACTAGCTCAAAATTGTCACCAAGAATACTAGATAATCAATAAACAACAAATAAAAGATGTTTGTGATCTCTACATCAAATCTTCATAAAGCAAGACAAATAATCTAGTATTTAGCATACTGGTTTTCACATAATTCATAGAGAGTAAAAGGCTGACATGGCTCACAATTGCTAAGCAGTTTCAGAACTTTTTCCTTGATTTTTTTTTTTTTTTTTTTTTTTTTTTTGAGATAGAGTCTCACTCTATTGCCCAGGCTGGAGTGCAGTGGCATGATCTCAGGTCACTGCAACCTCTGCCTCCCAGGTTCAAGGGATTCCTGTGCTTCAGCCTCCCAAGTGGCACGGAGTACAGGCATGCACCACCAAGTCCAGATAATTTTTGTATTTTTAGTAGAGACGGGGTTTTGCCATGTTGACCAGACTAGTCTGAAACTCCTGGCCTCAAGTGATCTGCCCGTCTCAGCCTCCCAAAGTGCCAGGACTACAGGCATGAGCCACCGTACTCGGCCTTCCTTCATTTTTTATTTAAATAAATACTGAACCTACACCAGCACCGGAAAACCATCAATCAGTTCAATTTTCTTTTTTGTTCTATTCAGACATTTTTAAAACTTTAATTTACTTAATGATATGACAGGTCTAACAATGATCTCAAAACTTGACAAAAATTAGAAATCCTTTGTCGTCACATACTGTATAAAAATTAAAAACTGATTTAAAGAGCAGGCACATCATAACTAACAGGAAAGTCCAAAAATTTGATCACAGGCATAAGTTCCCAGTTTTACATGTCCACCTAAGTCATTTATCTAATAGGAACACTGGACAAAGAAGTATTCAAAAAGTATCATCTTGGGCCAGGCACAGTGGCTCATATCTATAATCCCAGTACTTTGGCAGGCTGAGGCACGTGGATCCTTAGAGGTCAGGAGTTCAAGACCAGCCTGGCCAACATGTTGAGGCCTGCCTCTACTAAAAATACAAAAATTAGCCAGGCATGCACGTGTAATCCCATCTACCAGGGAGGCTGAGGCAGGAGAATCACTTGAACCCGAGAGATGGAGGCCGCAGTGATCCGAGACTGCACCACTGCCCTCCAGCCTGGGCAACAGAATGAGACTCCATTTCCAAAAAAAAAAAAAAAAGGATCTTCTCAATTTTCTCTGTAAAAATAAAGTGGCATGATTTCAGAAAAAATTCTCCAATGATAATATTTTCTATTCTTTTCAATTAAAAAAAAAAGTACTTCATGGATAACATCATGGATTCCTAATAACATCTTCTAGCATTGTGAATCCTTAGAGAAACAATTCCACCAGTTTCTAGTTTTTCTTCTTTAAATAAGGTTCAAATGAACCAGACATAGCATAATTTCCCAGTGTTTTTAGGTAAAATCACAATAATAATCCATTGTAAGATGCATGAATTCATATATACCTTCTATTTTGTTTTCCTTTGTTAGCACAGACATCTACTTTTGAGTAGATAAAGAAGAGGAAAATAATAATGGTAGTAAATAAAGGGTCTACTTCTCATTATATTAAAAAACTATGAATATTTCCTGTGCCCATTGGCAGACAGATAAATTGAGAAATGAGTGTGAATTGTCTCCCCAGTCAACCCCCAAATACCCTCTTCCTATGTTTAAATTCCACAGAAATATGGTGTGAATCTGCTTTGTTTCCTCAAGCCCTACACCTGCACATACTACTGGAAAACAGCAGGTGCTCAGTAATTTTTGTTTCCACTCTCATCACCCAAGCCTGGAATGCAGTGGCATGATCCCAGCTCACTGCAACCTCCACCTCCCAGGTTCAAGAAATTCTCCTGACTCAGCCTCCCAAATAGCTGGGATTACAGGTGCCCGCCACTATGCCCGGCTAAGTTTTGTAATTTTAGTACAGATGGGATTTCACCATGTTGGCCAGGCTGGTCTGGAATGCCTGACCTCAAGTGATCCACCCGCCTCGGCCTCCCAAAGTGCTGGGATTACAGGCTTGAGCTACCACGTCTGGCCAAATATTTTTTTAAATGAACATATTTTACAGGCAAAGATTAGGCTGGACACCAAAGCTCTTCATTTATGAATATACCTGTCAAATAAATTCCCTAATCCATTCTCAGTTTCTAATACTAGCCAAGGTAAGATTAAAGAAGGCTAAAATTAAAACCTCATTGTTTCAATCAACAAATCTTTATGGAGCATTTCCTGCATGCTAAACAGTGTGTCTGGTAACAAGAGGCAAATTACACACATGAAGCCCTAGTTTCATGCCCACCATTAGTTTGCAGTCTATAGGACAGACTGGAAATGGCAAAATATGGAAAAATAAAGTTGAAATACAATAAAGTTTCTTTGTTTACTCATCATACTCCTTAGTTAAATGTCACTCAGTCTCATATCTCAGCAGTTAAGGTTGTTTTCTTTTAAATACTTGTATGGTCAAGGATTTCTGCATACTATAATCCAGCCACAGAAATCTCCAAAAAAGTAATAATCAGAGCAAATTCTTCTCCATATCATGAACCTCCAATTATAGTATGCAATTCTAGCTTTCAGAACACACACACACACACACACACATATACATGACTACATATACATATATTCTTATGCAGAAATAATCATTCATTTCTTACACAGTAAAAACCCAAAACCGATCTACAATCCTTGCAGCTCGGAAATTCTCTGATTCTGACTGTTTAGGTATTTCATAACAACTTCTGCTTGAATTTTTTCAAGAATACTCTTGTTTAGCCACTTAATTCCGAGTTAGCATATGGCCTCCGAATAGACTGAAATCTCTCTTTTTAGGCACCACAATTAACATACGTGATATATTTCAGGTATATCTTCCTGGTTTTTGTTTTTTTAACAAGTCTGTCTCCCACCATGCAATAATCTGACAAGTTTAAATATGCCCAGTTTATAAAAATATATTTACATTGATTGTTAAATTTTGTTCACAATTATTTCTTAGAGGCACCAAAAATTAGCCCCATTTCAAAACTGACTTATGGAAACACCTATGGTACTGTTTGCATATAAAGTACAGGATACTCACTTAAATTTGAACTTCAGATAAATTTTTTTTTAGTGTGTGTCTAGAATTGAATATTTCTGGTTGTTCTGTACTTTTATTTGGTAAATATAGCAAAACTAACCTACAGGGTCCTACAATGACATTTCCAACAACAGAAAAACTGAATTAGTGGTATTTCTTACTATATCAAATAACATCAGCAAGTAAATATATAATGACAAAATTCAGGGTGAAACTCAGTCATATTAAATTAATAGTTTCTCACATGACAGTTCTCTTTCAGAAAACACCTTAGGTTTCTAAAAATTCTATGGGGGAAAAAAGCTTTTCTAAAGTCCCTGAGCAATGTACCACTCAGTAATAAATGCAAAAGGTACTATTGAGACTATATTTCTTCCTGCATATAAATATCACGTATTCAGTTTGTACTTTAAGAAACTGTTGAGGTTTACCAGGCACAATGAAAAAAAATATTAAACTAAAAGAACACATTAATGACATCTGCCCTGTTGGTGTTCAAATAGATGAATTACCTCACAGGATTGCTGGTCAAAGACACTCGGAGAGACTCCAGGCATGTGACAAGTCTCTCATCTGCAGACCCCATTTTCAGCTCATGAATGAATTCCTGAGGTGAGATCTGTCGGCTTCTCTTAAGACTCCCCTATAAAATAAGTCAAAAAAATTTTTGATTAATACTGCATGGAGATTACCCATTAAAAAATAACAAGTTAATCCCCCTAACAGCATCACATAACTACTATAATTAGCACTATTTGGGCAGGGGTGGTAGATAATTTCCTTACTTCTGCCCCAAAATCTATAAATTCATAATCTGTGATATCCACAAAAGATATTAATATAACATCAGAAGGTGTGCAAATTGAAATAATTGCTTTCTCAAATGTAAAATGTCATGGAGAACAATTGTGTAATATAGAAAATATCTTAAAATACAGTAATATTTTTAGGCACACACAAAATAAAACTCAATATAAGAACTATCCTATTAAAATTAGTATTCAAAGCAGCATAGAAAAGGCTGTTAGGTATTAATTCATTCAACTACCATTATAAGCCTAGTTTTAGGCACTATAGACACATGGATTAACAAAAAGTGAAGTCTGGAAGAAATGCAAGCAAGAAAATAATAATTTTCAGTACAATCTAGTTCCTGTAACACAGCACAAAGAGACTCAAAGAAAGAACATCTAACTTGGCAGAACAGATCAGGGAAGCCTACATAACAGGGGTACATCTTCCTGGTTTTTCTTTTGTAAGTAGGCATTAGGCAGGCAAAGAATGAGAAAGGAATTAACTTCCAGACCAAAACATAATATGCACGTACACATGGAGAGAAAAACAAAAACATGTGCAACTGAAGACAGAGGCCAGATCATGGAGTGATAAAGCACTACTATGCAACTAGCTCTCCTGGGGAGTTTTGGAAGGATCACTCCAGTGTGAAATATGAATTAGAAGAGTTAGAGTTCACTCATTATTCAACAAACATTAAGTACCTACTAAATACTGGGCACTGTTTTAAGTACTGAGAATAGAGCAGGGATGAAAGAAGAATAAAAGATTGAACTTCCTACCTACATGTAGCTTTACTACATATGGGGAGAAATAATAACTAAAATGCATTGCACTGTAAATAATACACACTGTAGAGAAGAAGAAAAGCAAGAAAGAGAATAAGTAGCATCATATGAGACACGCAATTTTAAACAGGATGGTCAAAGAAAGCCTCAGAGAGAAGACTTCAAAGGACTCAAACTTGAGTGTTTAAATAAAAAGTCTAAAGGAGATAAAACAGCTAACCATGCAGATATAGGAAAAAAACGCTATGATGGAGGGGACTGTAGGTTTTACAGTCCACTCAAAGAACTTGGACTTTTACTCTGAGATCAGAAGCAGAGAGATCTGTTGAGAAGGTATCTATACAGCCTAGATAGGAAATGATGAGGATGGCGAACTAACAATAAAGTTCTGAATTATATTATTTAAATTACAGATTCACCATCCAATGGCAGGAAATGAATTGTGTAAGTTCAAAAGAAGATCAGGTGAAGTGGCAGGAAATTAGGTGTTTTTCATGTTTTTTGTTTTTATTAATTTAATATAATGTTATTCAAGAAAACATTCCCAATAAAGCAAAACAAATTAGCACTGTAAAGAAGGGTTATTTTTATTCATGTCAATATCAATGTAGTAATTTAATAAAGAAGAATTCAATGGTACAATCTCAGAAAAGGGGAAATGGTGAGAGCTATGAAAATGAACATCCAATTATTTTTATCACAGTCACTGATATCATTCAAAGAACATATTCAACTTGCACCAACACAGCACTTATCGATGTCTCTTTTTGCTCTGAATTACCAAAAGATTGACTGTTCAACAGAGAAAATTTGGAAAACACAGAAAAGCAACAAGAACAAAGGTGCCTCAAAATAAGTACTGCTAATATATTTCTACATAAAGCATTTTTCTCATAGAGAGAGTATTAATATATTTGCATATATTTATATTTTAAAACATATATGATACGGTTTGGCTGTGTCCCCACCCAAATCTCATCTTGAATAGTAGTTCCCATAATCCCTACAGGAGGTAACTGAATCATGAGAGCGTTTACCTCCATGCTGTTCTCGTGATACTCAGTGAGTTCTCACGAGATCTAATGGTTTTATAAGAAGCTTTTCCCCCACCTTCGCTGTCACTTCTTGTCTGCTGCCATATAAGATGTGACTTTGCTCCTCCTTTGCCTTCTGCCATGATTGTGAGGCCTCCCTAGCCATGTGAAACTGTGAGTACATTAAACCTTTTTATTTATAAATTACCTAGTCTCGGCCAGGCACAGTGGCTCATGCCTGTAATCCCAGCACTTTGGGAGGTCGAGGTGGGCGCATCACCTGAGGTTGGGAGTTCGAGACCAGCCTGACCAACATGGAGAAACCCTGTCTCTGTTAAAAATACAAAACTAGCCAGGCATCGTGACACATGCCTATAATCCCAGCTACTCAGGAGGCTGAGGCAGGAGAATCGCTTGAACCTGGGAGGCAGAGGTTGCGGTGAGCTGAGATCGTGCCATTGCACTCCAGCCTGGGCAACAAGAGTGAAACTCCATCTCAAAAAATAAAAGTAAGAGTAAAAATAAATAAATTACCCAGTCTCAGGTACATCTTATTAGCAGGGTGAGAACAAACTAATACAATATACTTTACTTATTTAAAACATCATTTGATACCTATTGTTCTATAGGCTACTGTTATCTTTAGGCAACACTTCATGAACATATTCCAGTGTCAGTACATAAGCCATAAAAAATATGACCTCTTCCTGCCTACAGACTATTGCATTACTTACTTAATTAGTCCCTGGCTCTTGGGCAAGTAGGTTGTTTACAATTTCTTGATACCATAAATTTTTCAAGTTTCCTGTGCATGCTGTCAGGCCAATATTTTTATCCAAAAATATAGCAGTAGAGGTTAACTAGATGATCTCTTGTAGCCCATTCCAAATTTATTTCCGAAAAACTTGCAATTCGGGTAGGATCAAAATAAACTACAACTGAATAAATAGATTTTTTTCTTCAACAATAAGTAAGCTCCATGTAGCAAATACTTTTTAAGTATGAGAATAACCAATAAGTGCATGTGGATAAGAATAAAAGTGGTATTAAAAGATAAAAAACAAAAACCACCTATCCTACATCTTAGCCCTGTCTCACAAAGACAGTAATTCCTAATTCCTTTAACAGTTTCTTCTGATAGTTACTTAATATGTCTAAATAATGTGCCTGATGTTTTTAGATTTCTAAATATTCATTATTACCTTTGATTTGTATTATGAAAAATAAGGATTTTAATTATCTTAAAACATTGGAACCTCTTCTCTTCCATCTCCTGAATAGCAATAAACTCAATTGAATCAAAAGATGCCATTCCATGAAATGAGAGCTAACTGAATCCACATTTTATAAAGTCCTTACAGCTACATCCCTACAGAGATGAGTTCAGGCATCCAAAAATCTTTTTGCTTTAGTTCATTTTATCATCACTCAACAGGATATTATATGTCCCAATCATAAAATCACCCAATTACTGTAAGGATATGAACGGACACTTTTCAACAGAAGACATCCATGTGGCCAAAAAACATTAAAAAATCTCATTATCACCGGTCATTGGAGAAATGCAAATCGAAACCAAAATGAGATATCATCTCATGCCAGTTAGAATGGCGATCATTAAAAAGTCAGGAAACAACAGATGCTGGAGAGGATGTGGAGAAATAGGAACACTTCTACACTGTTGGTGGGAACCATTGTGGAAGACAGTGTGGCGATTCCTCAAGGATCTAGAACTAGAAATATCATTTGACCCAGCGATCCCATTACTGGGTATATACCCAAAGGATTATAAGTCATTCTAATATAAAGACACATGCACACATATGTTTATTGCAGCACTGTTCACAATAGCAAAGACTTGGAGCCAACCCAAATGCCCATCAATGATAGACTGGATAAAGAAAATGTGGCACATATACACCATGGAATACTATGCAGCCATAAAAAAGAATGAGAAAGCCAAACACCTGATGTTCTCACTCATAAGTTGGAGTTGAACAATGAGAACACATGGACACAGGGAGGGGAACCTCACATACCAGGGCTTTTCTGGGGTTGGGGGCTAGGAGAGGGATAGCATTAGGACAAATACCTAATGTAAATGATGGGTTGATGGGTGCAGGAAATCACCATGCCATGTGTATACCTATGTAACAAACCTGCATGTTCTACACATGTATCCCAGAAATTTACGTATTTTTAAAAAAAAAAAGAAAAAAGGAAATACCTATAGATAAAACTACAATACATTTGTGGAGAGAAACTGAGGACAACCTATAAAAAAAAAACATGTCATACCATATTCATAGATCAGAAGACATAATTTTATTAAGAAATCCATTAAGTACATTTTCTGAAAAAAAAAAACCCATAGATTCAATCAATGATTACTGTCAAAATCCCATCAAGTGTTTTGTAGAAATTGAGAAGTACATCCTAAAATTTATATGAAAATAAAGGAGAACTAAAATAGGAAAAACAATTGTGATAAAGAACAAAGTTGGGGGGCTTACATTATCTGATTTCAAGATTAACTATAAATCTATAGTAATCAAATTAGAGTGGTACATGCATCAATGGAATAGAGAGTCCAGAAATACAACATATTGTCAACGATTTTCACAAAAGTTTCCAATGTAATTCAATGGCGGGAAGAAGAATCTCTTCAACAAATGGTACTAGAACAATTGGACTTTCATATGAAAGAAAGTGAACCTGGATCCTAGACCTAAAAGTAAAAGCTAAAACTATAAAACATCTAGAAGAAAACAGGTAAAAATCCTCCCTGCCTTGGAGAAGGAAAAGATTTCTTAAATAGGACACAAAGAGTACTAGCTATAAAACCAAAATATTGTACCTCATTAAATTCAAAAGTATCTTATTAAATTAGTTTCAGTAAGGAAATGAAAGGTAAGCACAAACCAGGAGAAAATATTTGCAATACAGTTAAGAACTGTATAGAGTCTGAGATTTCAACTTACATACAAGCTAAGTTAGCCTGTTACTATTTCACAGATGCTAGCAGAAAACACAAGACTCCTGGATTAAAGACAAAGGACTTTATTATGCATGTATTGGGTCCCTAACCCACCAAATCACATGGGGACAATGCAGGGCCCATGGTGAATGCCTGCACATGCAGTGGATTGCATCATAAGAGAAGAACACTGAACTTGGGGTACTCACCATTTTTATAATGAGCAGTAATAGGCATGCTCATTGTGCAGAGGGAGGCAAAACCTCGCCTCTCCAGGCTACTCACTGCAAATGCAACTCTGAAAATGGGATGAGTAAAGAGCAATCAAACTTTGCATTCTTGGAATAGCCAGCAAGATGTAGGGAAACTCAGGACCCATGCAACACTGCCTCTCCCAATGATACATTTCATAAAGGACTAGTATTCAGAATAAAGAACTCCTATAACTCAATAGTAATAAGACAAAGAAATTAACAAACAGATTAAAAATTTCATAACAGAAGATATGTGAATGGCCAATAATCACATGAGGACATGTTCAAGATCACCTGTCAGCAGGGACGTTCAAATTGGAACCACAAATGAGGGAGTGCTACATAGTCCCTATAGTAGTCTCCTAGAGTAGTGAGAATTTGATACTCCTGGAACTCTTCTGCACTACTGGTGGACATATAAAATGAAACACCCTGGAAAATGTTTGTTTCTTTTAAGTTAAATATACATTGCCCATATTACTCAGCAATTGCACAGTTAGGTGTTAAGTAGGAGGAAAAAAATGAAAAAATCTACAATGTATGGAATACCTTTATTCTTAACAGTCAAAATCTGAGAACAACCCAAGGATTCATCAACAAATTATAGTACAACCACACAATGAAATACTATGCAGCAATAAAAAGAATTCACTATTGATAAATGCAACAAGACAAAGGAATCAAAAAAGTATGCTAGGTTGAAGTAGCCCAAACAAAATGTACACAGTAGATGGTTCTATTTATATGAAAAACCAAAACTAACCTGTCAATCTTTTCTCTGGGGCCATTACAATTCAGGCACAGAAGCAGAGCTATTAAATTTGGTGTGTTTGGCTGAAGGATGGGATAAAAAGGAGGCAACATTTTAAACAGGGCAGCAAGTAGATTTAACCAATAAACTAGGAAAGACAGACTAAATCCACTAGCTAACGATAATTACTTCAGCAATATTGAACTGTCCAACTTGAACAGTTCGTTGCCTCAAGGATTCTGCATTCCCACCTGAGAATCCTGCCTCTAACACACTCCCTTACCCTTACCCTTACCCAAACCCTCACCACCACTACTACAAGCCTTACCCAGGCCTACTCCTAAACATTGGTTAGACCTGGGCTGAGAGTGACTTCCCACAGAAGGCCTCTCGTGAGCACACAACAAGTCCCTTCCCCCAATCTATGGATTCATTTTTCATAACTCTTATTCTGTATTAAAAAAACTTTCATTATTACTTATTATTTAAAGGATATATTGAACACCTATTGTGTGCCAAGTACTGTTTACATGATGTAGACACAGAAGTGAAATAAAAG